CTCTTGTGCTCATCTTCTGATTCAAGATCATTTGCGTCATTCGGAAGAACATCCTCCATATTGCCTTCATCAGGACGTTCATTCTCGTCCTCCTCGCCGTCCTCGTCCACCTCATCTTCATCTTCCACGGTTTCGACCGCAACAGTCGAGTTGGAATCAGAGGAGGACGATTTCAAGCTGGCGTGATCAGGGCTGTCATCAATTTCGTGCATGGTCCAATCGTAGCTCGGAAGACCAGTGATGTTTGGATTTGCCCTGGCGACATTGGTCGAGTGGACGCTCGAACTGATGTGGTGGTGTTGGTGGTGGAGTGGGGGCTTCGGAAGAATCGTCCTTGCTTGATTCAGAGCCAGACAAGTTGGCAGATGCTTCTTCCACAATGGTAACAGGGGCGGCCTCAGCTGCGGGAACAGCCACAGCGGGAACATCCACAGTTGAAGGTGCATCCTTGGCAATCAATTGTCGGGATGTTTTGACTTCCTTTGCTTTCGAACCATCAGGTTGCTCAAATTCAACATTCCAAGTGTGCTTCTTTCCCTCATCTTGAAAGGCTCCAAGGATGACTCCACGCCTATGAGGCTTTGCTTTCTCTTCTACAAAAGTCCCTCTTTTCAGATTCCGCTTTCGTTTCGACGCCATGGTCGCCAGATCAATCGATTTCCTCCGTTGTAATGAGCCGATAGTCGCACCTCGAAGCAAGCCCAGCACCGCGCCTATCTGGCTGAAATTTCCCACACATGTTGTTGTTGAAAGGTTTCGCTATACACAACGCAGCCAGCCATTCCTTCGGAGTGTCCTATCCCATTGTTGTGGTCTCCTTGAAAGCTTGAGAGAGGCCAAACTTTGTGTGTTGGAACGATCTTTGGCGTTGGTTGGAGGTCGGGGTGTGTGAGATCAATTAATTTAGTACAGTTTTGTTACAGTAAAGATTTATTTTAGAATTTGGTAGCCGTTGGCACGAAGCAGATCGCACAATCGATCCACTTCGATCGATTGGCTTCGCTGCGCACACTACTATTATTGGCAAGGAATAGGTCGAAAATGGTGGTTTATAAACAAGCAATTACGACACTACAGATAGATAGATGGGTCTCTTTGTCTCTTTGGTCTCTCGATGGTCCTCCAACAGCAGCTGGGCCGGTCTCAATGTACTCTTGTTTCTTACCAGAACTCTTGGGATGCTTCAACCTCTTGATACTCATCAGAGTCTTCTTCATCGACAATGCGACGGTTGCGGCGAGTTGTGCGGCGAGTATTGCGTCGGGGACGAACAGCAGGAGCGGGGACAGGAGCGGGGACAGGAGCGGGGACAGGAGTGGGGGCAGGAGCAACCTCTGCATCCGAATCCGAGCCTTCGGAATCCGAGCTGTCACTTGGGCTTTCGCTGTCAGACGTCTCGGGCAGAATGATTTCTTCAACGCCGATCGTGACCGAATCGTCTGACTCTTCTGACTCTTCTTCTTCTTCTTCGTCTCTTCCACATCCGAAAGCAAGTTGATGGTCTCTCCACGACGAGGGGCGGGGGCTTCAGCTGGTGGTCCTTCGGTCGCAGTTCCATGTATGGTGAAGCGGAGAGGCGCGTCGGATTGGAGCGTCATGAGCTGTGGACGGCCATTTTCGTCCAATGCATTGATGGTTAAAGACGTGATGAGCAAAGTCGTATCGTTCATGATGGATTGGTGCTTGCGATCACAAGAAATGAGACTTGATTTGTGCTTGGCGTGGAGCGAGATCCTTTTTGGCGCCGGAATTTTCCAGATTTTGTTGCAATGATTTGAATCCGGAGCATTCAAACAAGACCAAAGCCAGGGAGTGTACAGAGTATTGGATGATCATTGGATTCGATCATTGGAGTATTCAGGAAGCTTGGTCGTCTACTTCTTGCTTGCTCTCACTTTGCCTTGTCTCTCTCACGAAGCAGTCGCTCCAATTCGGAATGTGGGTCAACAAAATCATCAAGCCATCCGCCGCGGCCGCAGCCACCATGAAGGGCAACCTCGTGTATTGTATTTGGATCGCCTTGTCCCTTGTTACGTGGTCTGCCATTGCTGTACATCTTGCTTTGTCTTTCGGCATCTTCTCACTGAAAAGTGTGCATGCCATTTTGACTGGTTTGATCCGTCTGATCGACGGTGGATTTGGCTTGCGCAAGAGGGTTGTCGTGCTCTCACCCTCGCCCAAGAAGAGAGCTCCCCATCCTGTCACCAACACTCGTGAACAGCATCTTTGGAGCCGCGTTTTGGATATCGATGGCCTTCCATCCGGTCGAATTGGAAACGTCTCATTCCGGATCAAGTTGTTTGATGGAAGAAGAGCTCACTATCAGGGTGATCTCCAGCTCGAACGCTTTGGATCCACGATGCTTCATCGTCTTCGCTACAGCGTCTTCGAGACTCTAACTGATGAACTTGGTTCCAGTTTCCCAGGTGACAAACGGGATGGATGTTTGTACCTTCCACTCGATGGTCGAGTCAAGATGAAGGACTTGTACGGGAAGAGCAAAAGAAAGAGCATGAAAGTCCTCTCTTTGATGGCCGACTATGACTACAACTGCGACAACCTTGCCTGTATTCAGATTACAATTGAAATGGGGCATCGTGCTGAGTATATGAGCGCAGCATTACGCTTTCAGACTGACTTGGAGACGGCTGTGATGGGAGGCAACGATGCTGAGGAAGACTTGGTACGTACGGGCTCTCTGACAAGCCACCGCCGTGCCAAAACCTGGCTGGAAAGGGTCCATTGTTGCTGATGAACCTTCTAACATGTTGACGTTGACTTTCACTTCGGCTGTTGGTACAGGAGCATGCTGAATAGCCTTGGTTTTGATTGCTCCAGTACGATGGCGGTACCGCCTTTTAGCATTTTCGATCAATATATGGCTGTTAGTCGCAGCTATGCCACTCGACAGGATGCCGGACTCCTATTATGATAGATAGTTTAATCTCTAGAGTAGGTTTAAGTGAGGCCATGGTGCTTTTTTCAGCCAAAACGACCGGATATTGGTTGAGTTGTGGTCATTTTTCAACCGTAGCCATGTGGCGGCAGCTATATGACAATGGCGGCAGCCCAAAACGAGGCACTAGTCTTTCTCGTCGAGAGTGGTGGAACACCAATCTGCTGCAACTCTCGGTGGGTGGGTTGCTGTCGACTTGGGTGCCGGAACATGCCCATGCAGCGCCCATTACTACCCCCTACTTGATGGAAGAATATTTTCAGCCTCCGAATACGGCAGCCGATCAAGGTCGCTTTTACTTTCCCACCTTGACACCTCCCTTTGCCAAACGGGCTACCTACCAATACACATTGGGCCGAAATGCATGGGCATTGGAACAGCTATTGACATTTGCCAATGTGTCCGCGACCATTCGTTGCAACGTGGTGCAATTGGAATCCACCGGGGGATTGTGGGTGCATAGTCCCCATTGGCCCACGGGAGAGTTTTGTTACCTACTCGATCAGCTGCAGGGTGATGTGGAGCATATTGTCTTGCCGTGCAATGCGCTGGAACACAAGGCTCCCATGAAAGCCTTTATCCAGAAATATCCAAAGGCTCAAGTCTGGATCAGCCCTGGCCAGTATGGTCCGTTTGGTAGCTGTGGATTGGATACCGATTTTGATACCAAGAAAACTTCGAGCACGATGGGATACCGTGTCGATGGCATTCTAGGCGACAACATGGCCCAACCACCAAGCTGGGCCAGGAATTCGACATGGCCACTTTGTATGTGGATATCCCGGAAAATGCTGGACCGGTATCGGAAGTGGCATTTTGTCACAAACCAACCAAAACGTTGGTGGCCACGGACGCGGTCGTGTACATTCCCACCGAGGCCCCCAACATTTTCACAACCTACTTTGACACGGATACTGTACGAGACGATCCAACCTTTTGGCCCAAGACGGTACTGCAGGCCGTCTTTTTGCCATTGCGAACAAACGACGACAACAATTATCCTGGCTTTGGCGCAATTGAAAATCGATTGGTCCGAGCTCCCATTTTGCGGGCATTTGCAGATGCCCGAGCCCCCAATGCGGTGAAGGATTGGGTGGCCAAGATTGCGACTCAATTTGACTTTGATCGAATCATTACAAGTCACTTTGCCTCGCCCATTGCTGCCACGCCGCAAGATTTTGCCAGTTGCTTTTCGTATCTGACACCCATCACGGGCAACAGCAACAGCAACGACAAGCTCCCACCCATTGCCTGTCAAGATTGGGAACTACTCGAAGGGTTGAATCAGGTCATTGCCGAAAACAAGCTTGGCGCTCCAGCTACTTTTGACTACAAGAAAGATTGCCAATAGCAAAAAACGGCAATAAAGAAAGAGGTCTTTACTCGCCGCTAGGTCGCTCCTCGGCGTGGCTAATTCTATCACCTAGGACGCCGAGCCTCTTGCAAATCCTTCTGCCCACACCTATAGGCACAAAGCTTCCAGTGCCGACCTAAACGTTTAGTCCAACTCGAACAGTGACTTCCTTGTAAAGACCAGTCAGACGAATCTATGGTCACAGTGCATTAATAACTTCTGGTATCAAGTGTCACGGCCAAATGAAATTAAGGATCTCAAAGTAGTTGCATGTTGGAGTGCAGGTCAACGGCAGCAAACACAGCAGTCGTGCTGGGCTGGGTAAACCAAAATGGTCCAGTGGCCTCTGCCGCATACTGTCATGGCCATCAATAATTGAACAAGAACATTTTAGTATTGTGTAGGTTGATTGAAACGAGAAAGGGTCTAGTCAACAAGAAATGACATGGGAAAAAGAATCAAGCAACTATGCATACAGTGAGTAGATGGAATCATACGATATGGGTGGTCGGAACAGCGGGCGCGCCAATGGTGGATCTCTTGCCGGCTGACTGTCGGTCTGGTTTGTTGTTGTCTTGGCCGGAGTCCAAAAACACTTGGGTCCCCGGCGATGTCGAATCTCACAGGTCGAATTGTAACCCAACAGATACCCCCAATGACCAAAACTACCTTGGCCATGCGCCACACATCGAGTACTTCCCAAAAGGTACAAATCCACAAATGCATCGTAAAAGTCCTCTGGTACCAGTGAGGGGTCTTTGGCATCATACATGTCCAAATGAAGCGGTTGTTTCTGGTAGGCTCCATTGCTGGTTGTAGCCACAACTGTGACATTTTTGCTGCGTCCATACTCAATGGCTGTCTTGACGGCAAAGGCAGTGTCGGAAGCCACAAAGAATGGCCCACCAGGCCGCAACATCGAAATACAATTCATAGCATGGTGTGTCATGGTTGTCATTTCCTTCTCGGATCGTTCCTTGACGGCATACACAGCACGGATATGAGCTGCAGCATATTCCCCCGGAACAATCCCCAGTCTGTCAAAATTGTCCTTGACACGCTGTGCAATAGGTGGAGCAGGAGTGAATGCCCAGTGCCACATGTGTCGAAACATGCCGAGCCTTGCATGCTGTTCATCCCCTGGCAGTGGATTGTCATCGTACCACTCTTGCCCATAGTCATTGGCTTGCATCTCACAGATCATGACTTGCATTCCAGAACCAGTTGCATTGGCCAGTCGAACAATGTCTTGTTTTCTTCCACGAGCCTTGTTGGATAAGACGGAACCCGTCATGTAATGGGGTACACGCCAATCCAATCCACCTTCTGGGGCAACAGATAATGCTCCAAGCAAAGGTTTGTTCCAATAAATCAACAAGATTCGATTGGTTCTGGCGGCCACTTTCAGAAAGAATGGCAGTGGTTTCAATCGATCCGTCAATCCTCCGGCTTGTTCTCCTCGTCGAGCCACCATGACTAGATAGCGATAATGTGTATTCCAGTTGGTCTCATTCAGCTGAGCCCTTGTTTCTTGATGCCATGTGGCATATTCCTGCATCCAAGCAGGAAGGTTTGTGGTAATGGTGACTGGAGTTGGAGGCTCAGTACTACTCGCACTGATGTTAGCTTGTACCAAAAGCGACAATGGATCATTCTGGTCGACTGTCTCGTTGCCGACGCGAATTGTCATTGTCACATTCCCAGCGTCATAGTCCAAGGAATCATCCAAAGTAGCATCTGCAGCTCTGGGAGCCACCTGCAAGAGGCGCGAACTGATTTGCCAACAACCCAACCAGGAAACGATGAGTATGTTGATCACGATGATGAGACGAGGGTCGGCCAACTTGGTCATTGCAGCTCTCTGAAACAGAATATCTCTCTTCTTGAAACAATATATGCTGGGTTGCTGATCAATTAATTGTGGCGTGGTGCAGGTTAGCTTTATACCCAAAGCAATATCATTGTACTTGGTTGGGATGGATGGGAATATCCGTTGGGAAGGTGGTCGTTGTTATTGTAACAGTGAGAGCATCCAAGGCGCAAAAGCGGCAACAACCATCCTTCCCTTCCCCCTCTGGCTTGGACGCCTGGACCAAAAGAAAACTGGGTCAGCAGCAAATACCGTACGGTAGTGAAGGGTGGTTCAATGACTGCTTTGTGACCTTCCAGATTACACCAGTTTGACCCGTTCAAGACGGTGTCTCTGCCTCGTTGAAACAGAGGGTGGTAACGCTAACGGTAGAGCCGCACAGTACAAGGAAGACAAATACCAAAGATCGAAACTTTGGATTGATGCAATCCAGCTTAATGGGCTTACTTTAGTCATTGGAGTGCACCCGATGTCTCTGGGAAAGAAGGATGCCACGAGGGCAAGATTGAAAAGAAAGGAAGTTGGTTGGGCCCACCGTAGGTTGTTCCGATTACTGCCAAATTTGGGTCCAAGCAAGGTTCCAGCACTGTCAGCCCTCACAAATCCACGCCACCAACACACACAACACTTCAAAACCACGATGCAAACTGCGGTCAAACCCCGCTTCGCGTTTGCCGCAACCCTGATAATGGTCTCTTGGCTCGGGTATTGGCGGGTGAACTCGAGGATCCTGCTGCAAGTGAGTGAAGACCTACGAACTTCGAGCCTCGACGAACCACTCAGTCCAGAAGATCAGGAATTCCTTGGCAACACCCCCAATACGACGACACACGGTCAGCTATTATTTATCGAGGAAGTTGCGCCCAACACGACACTGGCGCCACCCGAAACAACAATCCCGCCAGCAGTGACTATACCCAAAGATCTGACGGCAGATCTCCCACCGTGGCTGCAGGAATATGCCCAGTGGCATCGACAACAACGTGCTCGAATCAATGAACACAACTGGAAGTCCAAACGCAACAATTATCTCATTGTCACTGCCAGACGAGGTCAGCAAGCCGGAGGATTGACCGATCGATTGAAACCCCTTCCTCATTTCCTCAAATTGGCGGCCAAAACCAATCGAATCTTGTTGATTTACTGGAACAAACCCTTTTCATTGGAGCATTATCTGTTGCCACCCGACGGTGGATTGGATTGGCGTGTTCCCTTTTATATGGTGGAGGAAATTGTTGTCAAATCCAGAATCACCGCACGACAAGAAGATATTCGAAGCAAGGCACACAACAAAAGGTTCCAAATCGTCGCCACGGGAATGCAAGCACCCGACTATGGTCAAGACTGGTATGATGCAACCCCCTTGGAGGGCGATGAACTGCCTCAATACAATCGCATTGCCATTTTTCGACACATGTGGTACTGGGCATTCACTCCATCCCCTCCCATTGCACAGCGTGTCAAGGACAATTTTGACAGACTGGGACTTGTTCCGGGAGAATATGCTTCGGCTCATATCCGGGCGGTGTATGCCGTCAAGGAACGACCCGAGTGGAAATACATTCACATGGCACAGCATGCCATGAATTGTATTTCCATGTTGCGACCGGGCGGCCCTTTCTTTGTGGCCTCGGACACTGCCTTTGTCGTCCAAGAAGCCATCAAGTATGGACGCAGGAAAAATGTCACGGTAGTGGCAACTACCAACAATGGAGCCTACCAAAAACAACCCCTTCATTTGGACATGTACAATGCCAGTGATCTGTCGCTTGTGCCAGAAGACTTTTACGATGCCTTTGTGATTTGTACCTTTGTGGGGTACTCGATGTGTGGCACATGGACATGGTAGTTTTGGTCATTGGGTATCTGTTGGGTTACAATTCCACGTGGAGATTCGACAAGTAAAAGGTCCAAAGTGTGAATGGACAGATCCTCCTTCCAATGCCACAATGGGTGTGCATTCTGCCAGCAGCGCTTCAGAGAAAAAGCATTCTCGTCCACTGTTTCGGCGTCCCATGGCATATGATTCCATCTATTCCTTTTCTCAATAAGAGAGCTTTTTAGACTTCTACATTTGAACTTTTAGGAAGGCACCATCTGTGTGTACTGATATCTGTGAGAAGTCGTATCACCAATCTCTTTCTCTTTTTTCAATGGACCCTTTCCAGCCAGGTTTTGGCACGGCGGTGGCTTGTCAGAGAGCCCGTACGTACCAAGTCTTCCTCAGCATCGTTGCCTCCCATCACAGCCGTCTCCAAGTCAGTCTGAAAGCGTAATGCTGCGCTCATATACTCAGCACGATGCCCCATTTCAATTGTAATCTGAATACAGGCAAGGTTGTCGCAGTTGTAGTCATAGTCGGCCATCAAAGAGAGGACTTTCATGCTCTTTCTTTTGCTCTTCCCGTACAAGTCCTTCATCTTGACTCGACCATCGAGTGGAAGGTACAAACATCCATCCCGTTTGTCACCTGGGAAACTGGAACCAAGTTCATCAGTTAGAGTCTCGAAGACGCTGTAGCGAAGACGATGAAGCATCGTGGATCCAAAGCGTTCGAGCTGGAGATCACCCTGATAGTGAGCTCTTCTTCCATCAAACAACTTGATCCGGAATGAGACGTTTCCAATTCGACCGGATGGAAGGCCATCGATATCCAAAACGCGGCTCCAAAGATGCTGTTCACGAGTGTTGGTGACAGGATGGGGAGCTCTCTTCTTGGGCGAGGGTGAGAGCACGACAACCCTCTTGCGCAAGCCAAATCCACCGTCGATCAGACGGATCAAACCAGTCAAAATGGCATGCACACTTTTCAGTGAGAAGATGCCGAAAGACAAAGCAAGATGTACAGCAATGGCAGACCACGTAACAAGGGACAAGGCGATCCAAATACAATACACGAGGTTGCCCTTCATGGTGGCTGCGGCCGCGGCGGATGGCTTGATGATTTTGTTGACCCACATTCCGAATTGGAGCGACTGCTTCGTGAGAGAGACAAGGCAAAGTGAGAGCAAGCAAGAAGTAGACGACCAAGCTTCCTGAATACTCCAATGATCGAATCCAATGATCATCCAATACTCTGTACACTCCCTGGCTTTGGTCTTGTTTGAATGCTCCGGATTCAAATCATTGCAACAAAATCTGGAAAATTCCGGCGCCAAAAAGGATCTCGCTCCACGCCAAGCACAAATCAAGTCTCATTTCTTGTGATCGCAAGCACCAATCCATCATGAACGATACGACTTTGCTCATCACGTCTTTAACCATCAATGCATTGGACGAAAATGGCCGTCCACAGCTCATGACGCTCCAATCCGACGCGCCTCTCCGCTTCACCATACATGGAACTGCGACCGAAGGACCACCAGCTGAAGCCCCCGCCCCTCGTCGTGGAGAGACCATCAACTTGCTTTCGGATGTGGAAGAGACGAAAGAAGAAGAAGAGTCAGAAGAGTCAGACGATTCGGTCACGATCGGCGTTGAAGAAATCATTCTGCCCGAGACGTCTGACAGCGAAAGCCCAAGTGACAGCTCGGATTCCGAAGGCTCGGATTCGGATGCAGAGGTTGCTCCTGCCCCCACTCCTGTCCCCGCTCCTGTCCCCGCTCCTGTCCCCGCTCCTGCTGTTCGTCCCCGACGCAATACTCGCCGCACAACTCGCCGCAACCGTCGCATTGTCGATGAAGAAGACTCTGATGAGTATCAAGAGGTTGAAGCATCCCAAGAGTTCTGGTAAGAAACAAGAGTACATTGAGACCGGCCCAGCTGCTGTTGGAGGACCATCGAGAGACCAAAGAGACAAAGAGACCCATCTATCTATCTGTAGTGTCGTAATTGCTTGTTTATAAACCACCATTTTCGACCTATTCCTTGCCAATAATAGTAGTGTGCGCAGCGAAGCCAATCGATCGAAGTGGATCGATTGTGCGATCTGCTTCGTGCCAACGGCTACCAAATTCTAAAATAAATCTTTACTGTAACAAAACTGTACTAAATTAATTGATCTCACACACCCCGACCTCCAACCAACGCCAAAGATCGTTCCAACACACAAAGTTTGGCCTCTCTCAAGCTTTCAAGGAGACCACAACAATGGGATAGGACACTCCGAAGGAATGGCTGGCTGCGTTGTGTATAGCGAAACCTTTCAACAACAACATGTGTGGGAAATTTCAGCCAGATAGGCGCGGTGCTGGGCTTGCTTCGAGGTGCGACTATCGGCTCATTACAACGGAGGAAATCGATTGATCTGGCGACCATGGCGTCGAAACGAAAGCGGAATCTGAAAAGAGGGACTTTTGTAGAAGAGAAAGCAAAGCCTCATAGGCGTGGAGTCATCCTTGGAGCCTTTCAAGATGAGGGAAAGAAGCACACTTGGAATGTTGAATTTGAGCAACCTGATGGTTCGAAAGCAAAGGAAGTCAAAACATCCCGACAATTGATTGCCAAGGATGCACCTTCAACTGTGGATGTTCCCGCTGTGGCTGTTCCCGCAGCTGAGGCCGCCCCTGTTACCATTGTGGAAGAAGCATCTGCCAACTTGTCTGGCTCTGAATCAAGCAAGGACGATTCTTCCGAAGCCCCCACTCCACCACCAACACCACCACCATCAGATTCGAGCGTCCACTCGACCAATGTCGCCAGGGCAAATCCAAACATCACTGGTCTTCCGAGCTACGATTGGACCATGCACGAAATTGATGACAGCCCTGATCACGCCAGCTTGAAATCGTCCTCCTCTGATTCCAACTCGACTGTTGCGGTCGAAACCGTGGAAGATGAAGATGAGGTGGACGAGGACGGCGAGGAGGACGAGAATGAACGTCCTGATGAAGGCAATATGGAGGATGTTCTTCCGAATGACGCAAATGATCTTGAATCAGAAGATGAGCACAAGAGAAAGCAAGAACTCTATTTGCAGGAAAAAGCAGAGCTGCTCGAAAATGGATGGACCGAAATAATGGAGTCCAAAAGGCCACCATTAGCTCCAGATGTTCGAGTGCAAACCAAGGGCAAGAAGAACCAACGCAATGGCATCATCATTAGAAAAGTTGAGAAGAAGGTTTGGCTGGTTCAATTTGACGATAGCGACCAACCCGAAGAAATTTCCCCTTACTCCTTGGTCCAGATCTTCGAACCGAAGAAGTACAAATGGACGCTTGTTGAGAACTCAGAGCCGGATGAGCCGATAGAGGAATATGCGGATGTTGGACTTGTTGGTTTTGACTTCAATCAGTTCTCTCCTGGCAGAGTTTCAAAGACAAATGAAGCATACGAGTATCCTTATCTGAAGCTGATCCAAAAGTTGTGGGGAGGAAGCTGGCAGGAGCAGATGACACGAGTCAATGAACGAATTGACGAACTGAATGAGGCAGAACACAAAACGAAGAAGAAGAAGAAGAACATCGTTCGGAGGATCAGTCAACGGGAGTTTTGGGTCTTCATTGGGCTGATGATTGTGGCAGCCGCGCATCGTCTTGGTGGCCATCAGCTTTGGGAGAAGCCTTCAAATCGATACGACTTCACAATGACAGAAACCCTCAATTATGGGATCCACGGAAAGGAAGTCATGGCCGAATATCGCTTCAACGCAATCAAGGCAGTGTTCCCGTATGCTTTCCACGATAAGAAGGCAAAGAAAGATGGTGATCCGTGGTGGATGATCAGAGGCTTTGTTAATGGCTACAACTACATTCGGTCATTGTGGATCGCTGCGTCTGTCTTCAAAGTGATGGATGAGACAATGTGTGCGTATCGACCTCGGACGTCTAAGTATGGAGGACTGCCTCATATTTCATACATCAAGCGGAAGCCAGAGCCTCTTGGCACTGAATTCAAAACTGTCGCGTGCTCCAAAACAGGAATCATGCTGTACATCGAAATTCAAGAAGGCGCAGAGGCCATGGCCAAAAAGGAGTACGCCAACGACTACGGTGGCATGTCTGCGTGTACTTTCAGGATGGTTGACGGCACGGTGCACAGCGGCCAGAAGTGGGGATCAAGGAAAAGGGCGAAAGAAGATAACAAGCCCGAGCTCTTCAAGGGAGATTCTTGGTTTACAAGTGTGCCTGTTGCTGAATGGATGTCGGAGCGAGGCCATGGCTACGTTGGTGCAATCAAAAACAGCCACCGATTGTTTCCAAAGAACGCACTTGAAAAGAAGATGAAACCATGGCCGAGTGGGTCGACACTTGTAATGGAGTGCCACACACCTGACGGCCATGATCTCATTGCAATTGGATACAAGTACAACAAGAAGAAAGTGCTGCAATTTGTCGCTACAAAGAGTGCTGGATCCACCAAGCCTGGTAAGCCTTACATCGCGAGGTTCTGTGACAGTGTTGGCAACCTCTGTGAGAGAGAAGTGGAGCGACCAGCCATCATTTCCGAATACTTTTCCGACAGCAATGCCATTGATGCACACAATCATGTCCGGCAAGGAGAGCTCAGACTTGAAAAGAGGTGGATTACACAGGACTGTTGGTTTCGGTTGGCCACAACGTTGATTGGAATGGTTGTCACAGATGCATGGAAATCATTGCGACACGGCGGCCCTGATCAGAAACAGAGAGATATGGGCATCAACCAGTTTGCTGACCGAGTTGCCTATGACCTCATCCACAACAAGCTTCCGGATGAAACCACCGCCACTCAAGCATTGAATCTGGCTGTGGATGAGCCTCCATTGTCAACCGTCAATGTCGACAGATCTCGTCGTGAAGAAGTCATCTCTCCTGTCTCTGTTGCAAGTACATTGGAGGATCTTTCAAGGAGCCACGTCAAGATTGCCAATCCGGAGATTGTGGCTAGCTCTGGACGGCCACGGAGAAGGACTTGTCGGGTGAAAGGCTGCACCAAAGAGACGCAATGGCTCTGTGGCAATCCAGCATGCATGAATCACTGCTACAATGCCAATGGAAAAGAAGTGTATGGCAAGTTTTATTGCACAGATCACTGGCCCCAGGAGCATTGGAAGGAACTGGAAGAGGCAGCAAACAGGCGACGCGGCAACCGATTCAACGAGTAGCACGGTACGCACAAAAACCTGAATCATGGCCTCGATCTGTCGTCATTGTCTAACATTGTGTCTGTTGCTATTACAGCTCTGATTTGGTTTGGTTTGGTCGGCGGAATGGCTTGGAATCAGCTCTAACAGTGGTGGGAGTCCACCGGACACCTATTTTTGACACGACTTGTTGGCAGCAAGTAATGGACTATAGAAGCGTCCTATTAACCTCCACACGTCTTCAGACTCTAAGAAGAGTCAAAAGGTGGCCCTAGTTGCACTATTTGACGGTCCAAAGACGCCTATTAGAGATGTCGCCTCATGGCGGTACCGCCATTTTTTCATCCCAAAACGAGGCACTAGGCGAAAGAAGTTCCCGAAACGTATGCCCAGCTTCCAAATCAGCACGGAAGGCATCTCATTTCGCAAGGCGGTGCCCATTTCGGAACTTATTAGGATTTCGGAAACCTTTCTAAGCCAGCCTACATTCAAATGTGTCACACGGTACTGACGTCTAATTAGAAAATTCGATCGTTTAATATATATATATAGTCCTTAATAATAGCATAGAGCAATCCAGCCACCAATCCGGCTCATTCAAGTTGGAATCTTCAGAAAAGCACCGATTTTACCTTCCAGATTGGGAAAGTTAGCTCACAAATTGCCGAAGAACGGTCTTAGTAAATGGCGCGGACCAGACGTCTTATTGCAACCAACAGTACTAGAATACCCACACGAGAGGAGTACGAAGCCACGTTTCTCAAGCGAACGCCAACACTATACATAGAGATTGACGGAATGAAGCGTAAATACACCGGACCGAAAGCAAGAGAAGACATTGATAATGGTAAGCATATGCACTTTGATTCGTGTGGCATTGAGTTTCATGTAGAATTGCACTGGTTGGCTCTGTATTAGACTGATTTGGTGACAACTCCGGATTGAAACACAGGACGTTTCCTGTGTTTGTGTTAAGTAAGGGTAGCCAAGATTGCACTATCTATTGCTCAACCATGGAGACCCACGGCAATGATGTTGGCTTGTCGCATGCACCCATGCGAATCCAAGAGCATTCCTCGAGTTATCGTTTGTCATTTTCCTCATAAATTCGATAGTTTGCAACCAAAAAGCGAAAGCTCTGCCTCTGTTCAGTCTCATCTTACACCCATTTCCTCCATTGCTGCTGCTACCATTCCTTCCTCCTCCTGTCCTGCCCCTGCATTGGCTTCTCATTTGCAATACACGGCTCTTAGCCTTATTCGCGACTCGATCCTAGATAGGGTTTGAGTTCGACTCATGACTGAGTCTCTCGTGAATAGTCATTGAGACAGGGTTCTCAATGACCGCTCTAGTCATACTAGGTTGATGATGAAACATCGCTCTAGATATTTAGCCAGCGTGGAGTACTTCCACGCTACTAGATCCAGGCTAGACGAATCTTCCACGCGTTCCGTTTTAGGATCGTGGAGATACGTAGGATTACTACCGCAACCTACTCTATCACACTTTATAGTCTCCCGCGGGAGACCAGATCTACGATCCTTTGATGGTGATCTCTCTCGTTGATTAGTTTTCATAGCTTTCTAATCTCTCTCGTAACTTTCATTCTCTCAAACACAAAACACTCGAAAGATCTTTACACTAGCTTTTAGTGTAGTGCATTTTGTTAACAAACACAATAGCTTTCAGCTACCCTCAACCTCTTCCTTCACCATGAAGATTGCTCAAGGAAAGCATGCGTTCACCAACTTCGAGAAACCATTCTTCCTCTCGTCGACAATGACGAAGACGCCGAGGTCGACGATTCTCGTGCAACCACCTACAAACTTCGCACCGTTCCTGCAGATGCAAACAGTGCCAAATACACCTTCAAGGTAGCCATCATCAATGGTTCCAACACTCCACGTCAGACCATCAAGTGGGCTACGAATATGGAGAAGGTCTTCGTTGGACTCAACCTTGCTAGTCCCGACGACAAACATCGCCTTCTCAAGGAGATGACTTCCAGCTCTGCGAAGAGTGCCTACGAAGCTGGGTGTGCAGGCCATCGTGCCGTGCGTCATAACGCCCTACGACAAATTGTTATGAACGCAATTCCTCCACGCGATGTGACTTCTGGAGAAACCGAAGTAGCCTTCCAGGCTCGTGTCCAAGCCGCATGGGACGGTGCAGCGGAACCCGCTCTAAGCGATGCTGACATCACCTTTGGAATCAACGCGGTCATCGAAGCAGCCTGTCCTTACAAGGCTCTCGAAAATCAGAAACGCTTCATGCGTCGCAAGATGCGTAAGCCTAGCGAGATGACAACTCGCGCCTACATCAACAACCTCACTCGGATGAATACTGATGAGCTTCCACGTTTGCCACCTTTCGGTGTCAATCAACAGTTGAACCAGGACGAATTCATCGACATCATCTGTCATGGCATTCCTCG